ACCGTGGTGTTTTCTCTGGGGCCAGTTGTGCAAAATCTTACGGAAGGGAAGGCTGATCTCATCGTTTCAGACTTGGCCCAGATTCCACAGAAGGTGAGTACAACCTCCAGTCCTTATAAGCAGCCATTTACACAGTGAAGAAAGTGTGGTTTTCCATTTGGAATTTGAATCTCATTTTCTGCTTTGCATTAACAGGCACTACTTCTACGTAAAATATTTTAAAGCATTACAGTAGTGTATGTGGGCTCAACTAATCATTTGTCTATGAATTCTTGAAGTTACTTTGGAAATACTTCTCTTTGTTGTCATTTGTTTGTGACAAAATGAAAAGAAAATATTAAGTTCCTATCTCACATTTTGTTATTTTAAATCTTTTTTTTTTTTTTTTAAGCCGGAGTCTCGCTCTGTCACCTAGTCTGGAGTGCAGTGGCATGATCTCGGCTCACTGCAAACTCCACACTTGCTGGTTCACGCCATTCTCCTGCCTCTGCCTCCCGAGTAGCTGGGACTACTACACCCAACTAATGTTTTGTATTTTTAGTAGCCTAGTAGCTGACACTACAGGCGCCCACCACCACGACCCGCTAATTTTTTGTATTTTTAGTAGAGAGGCGGTTTCACCATGTTAGCCTGGATGGTCTCACTCTACTGACCTCGTGATCCATCCGCCTCAAACTCCCAAACTGCTGGGATACAGGCCTGAGTCACGGCTCCCGCCCAAGGTTTTAAATGTTAAGGTCTGTGCTGACTACTCAAAAACAAACAAATCAAAAAACAAAAAAACAAAAACAATGCTGAAGTGTACTAACCCCAAGGAACATATAAAGGGAGGGCTGATATAACAAAGACAGAGAAGAATCATGCCCAAGAATCTCCTCAACATATTTGATTGTATAAGAACTCCATCCACTGTACTTGGGCATGAAAGTAGAAGTTTCAATTAATGTAGTCTTTCTTATGAATTAGACTTTTCTAGAATTCAAAAGCAATTACAATTTTGATGTTACAGTCTAGAAATCAGATAATTTTAACTTTCTTCTTATCGCAATTCTAAATTTCCACTCTTTAGGTACTACTATTTATACACTATCCAAGGAGTTTTTTAAAATTTAATGGTTAATTAAATTTCATAAAACTCAATAAAAGCAAGTATGCTAATTAGGATTGTGAAATTTGTTTTGCTTATGAAATTGGAACATCTATGTATTCCTATGTTTTCAAATGCAATATTTTCATATAGGTTTCCCATTAAAAAGAAAAGTATGTGACAAAAGGCATAAAGATGAACAAAATTCAACATTAAACATGAATTCTAAGAAACTTCTGTCTTTTTCTTTTTTAATTAAAAATAAATTAATATATAAAATGAAGGAGCGAAGGAAGCATGAAGGAAAGCAGAAAGTAAAGTCGACTAACTATCCAAAAACAAATAGCAAAATCTAAAGCAAAGATTTTCTATGAAGAGAATAGCATGGAAAAGACTCATCCCCATGATTCAATTACCTCCATCAAGTCCCTCCTACAACATGTGGGAATTGTGGTAGTTACACTTCAAGATGAGATTTTGGTGGGGACACAGTCAACCATATCAGGCCATTATGATCTCCTGTTTTGGTTACAAATGCACACTTTTAATAATCCTTTCTAATTTTAAGGTCTTGACTTTCCACACCAATATTAGTTGACACATTTGCTTTCTAAAGGAAAATCTTGATTTCATAACTGTCATTCCTTAAAAGTTGTGTAAGTAAATTTTGGTGGTGTATTAAAATCCAAATCCATAGTGTGACAGGTAAGACTGCCTAACGTCTTCATTCCAAATTAACTGTCTTTTGTAATCTCCTGCCCTCAAATTTCTCTGTGATCCATATACTTTGGAATGCTCTCCATATCTCCATGACTTTTAATCTTTCTGTTCTTTATTGGAAAATCCCTTCTTGGCCACACACTGCCTAGGTCCAATCAAAGCTTTCATCTTATATCATATGTTACCTGCCTCATTAAGTTTTTCTAATTATTTCCTATAGAAGTTCTTGTGTTTTTTGTCTGGAACTCTAAACATCCTGTATTGTTCATGTGATTCATATCAAAATAGTCTTTATATTATAGCTATTCAATATATTATCAGCTAATTAGTGAGGGTCCACACAGGTAAAGTGATGTAAAATATTTGTTTTCCAAAACCACCTTGTAAATTTGGGTTTTGTGGGAGAGTGACAGAAAGTGTGTGTTTGTTGTGTATGTTTGTGTTTTGTGTGAGTTAGAAACTTTAAAAAAATCTTTTGTGAAAGAGTGAGTCAATGTATGTGGCCAAGATGACTGACTGAAAGTAGGTAATGTGCATGGCTCTCACAAAGAGGAACAGAAGGGGTGAGTAAATAGAGCCCCTTCA